AAGTGAACCACTGCAGTTGTTAAGTTAGGAACACCGTTGTTCAGTGAATCTGGTTTCCCTGCTGACTTTGCTTGTCAGAAGGTTCACAAAAGGGGATCGCAGCGCACTGCAACCGTCATAAATATATATATTTATATAATAAATATATATATTTATTATTTACCGTCATAAATATATATATTTAAATATATATTCCAGGGGTTGTAATTTTGATCACGTGACCCTGCAACCGTCATAAATATAAATATGAATTTTGGTCACAGGACCATGGGAATGCAGCAACGGTTGTAAGTGTGAAAAGCGGTCAAAAGTCAGTTTATTCGGGGCCGCTGTAACTTTGAACCATCACTAAACGGTGGAAAGACAAGGATTACCTTTATAGGTTTCCAATTGTTGTTCTTCAGTCGCTAATTTGGTCACGATCCCATGGACCACAACATGCCAGCACCCTCCCGTCCTCCACCATCTCCCAGAGTTTGCCCAAACTCATGTTTGTTGCATCAATGACACTATCAATCAAGCAATCAATCAGAATAGAGCTGAAAGGGACCTTGGGTGTCATCTAGTCCAACCCCCTGCTCAAGCAGGAGACCCCACACACCAGGGGTGTCTGCCTCATTGAGGGTCGCGCGAGCGTAATGGTTGCCCTCAAAGACCCAGTTCCATGTAAGACTATGAGGAGTCCCTAATTGGCCTGGTGAGTGTGGTTCAGTGGGCATGGCCGGCTCAGCACCATTCACTGGGCGCGGCTGATTCGGGACAGCTGGGCCAGGACGGAACAAGTCCGCACCGGCTAACTCAACATGTGGACAATTTGGTGCCCCCCACAAACTCCTCACCTGCCCAAACTGCTGGCAGCCAAGCATGTGTGTATGCACATACACACACACACACACTCCACATTCCACATTTGGGGACTTTTATCCAGAGAGGAAGGAGAGGGCCTTCTCCCTAAACCCCGGGCATGATTGGCAGTTTGCAAGCTCAGATGTGGAGAAAAGTCTCCAAGCTTGGAATGGGTGTGTGTGTGTGTGTGTGTGTGTGTGTGTGTGTGTGTGTGAGAGAGAGAGAGAGAGAGAGAGAGAGAGAGACTGAGACTGCAGGCCGGATCTGGCCCATAGGCCTTGAGTTTGACATGTCTGCCCTATGCCATTTGAGACAAGCGACTGTCCAGCCTCTTCTTAAAAACCCCCGGTGATGAAGCCCCCACAATCGAAGCGTCTCCTCCTCTGGCGTCCCCTTCTCCTTTCGCTTTCCATCTTTCCCAGCCTCAGGGTCTTCTCCAAGGAGTCCTCTCTTCTCAAAGTCTTTGAGCTTCCGCTTCCCTGTTTGTCTTTCCAAAGAACAGCCAGGGTTGGTTTCCTTCAGCAAAGCTCCTAATTCGTTGCCAACAATATGTAACATGTAGGGAAGAAAAGTATATGAAAAGAAATTTACTAAAACATTGGGGTTTATGGCTAAAGATTTATTGGCCACGTAATTGCTATCTTTTCAATGATTAGGAGTACGGAAACCTGAGGAGATAAGAGATATAGGAACTGAGCAAATACAGTAGATACAGCTCTGTCTCTGTCTCTCTCTCTCTCTCTCTCTCTCCACACACACACACACACACACACACACACACACACGTGCATTATGGTTCCTGAACATGACTTGTCACATGCCGATAAACTGGAAAAACAGCCTCCTTACCACACCTCTCACTTATGACATATAATAGCTGTATCAGATGAACCAATTCATTATACGCTGGGTTGACTGCCACACCAAAACACACCCCATGGTTTGGCCACAGATCCCTTCCCGTGGCCATTCTCTTACGTTGGCATGGAGAGTGTGGTAATAAGGTAAATTCTTACATTTAATGAGCCGATGAACCTTTGGGATTTCAGCCTGATTAAGCTACATCTTCCAGGTAAACCAGCCTGAATTCAGAAATGTGGCACGTGCTTTTGGCCTTACAGGCAGTCCTAGACTAAGGGAGATGGTTGCTAGTCAGGATTGCCCCATTGTAAGGCTGTTCTTGCTCCAGTGGTTAAGTGAGTTGTTTAGTCAGACGGTTGCTAAGTGAATCTGGCTTCCCCATTGACTTTGCTTATCGGGGGGCACAAAAGGAGACCACGTGACCCAGCCCTGGGACAGTGTGACCATCATAAATACGAGTCAGTTGCCAAGTGTCTGAATTTTGATCACATAACCACAGGGATGCCCGAACGGTCATTAAGTGTGGGAAATGATCAAAAATCTTTTTTTTTAATGCCGTTGTAACTTTGAATGGACACTAAACGAATGGTTGTAAGGAGAGACTACCAGTGTGGCAATTAAGACCAGCTACTGAAATACTCAGGTGGTGTTTGAAATGTCACACGACATCACTAAATAAAAATTAGGCATTGGATTATTCAAAACGTATCTTAGAATTCCCTCGGGTTTCTAGACCTCAAACTGTGAAATTGGTATAAATCTTTGTGGGTTTTTGTTTTTTATTATTTTTTGTTTTATTCAGAGAGTTAAGGTAAAATACACATTCCCCCTCCCCCCAAAAGAGAGAAATGTTATAAACACAAAATGAAGGCAGATAAAACAATAAAAACCAAAAAAAAAAGTGCGTTAGGTCCTTTGAAGCATTTTTTTCCACATGATCCTAAATATTTTGAAATCACGGTGCATGTAACGCAAATGCTTTATATTCTCAGAAGAAGAAAAAAAATGTGACTATGAAATAGGGCATTGGTGGATTTCTTGAATGGTTAGCCTAAATAGGAGAGCCGAGACTATCATTTCTCACGTCCAGGGTATTCTTTTGCAAGCTGCTGAGATGTATTGTGCATGAAGAATCAGGTGGAGAGATTCCCGCCTGTTAAAAGAATACCTCCAAAAACCCATTTGAGGTTGCCATTAAAAGTGGCACTCCCTCACTCCCTCCCTCCACAGCCCCATTTGAAACACAAGGGGGGGGGTGTCTTCCTGCTTTAGATTCCCAAATATATCCATAGCCCTCACCCACCTATCGACCAAGCCTTAGGGAGAGGGCCTAGGGATGTGGAATTTTGAACCGCGGACGTAGGTCCTCAGCTTACATCCCCAACTGAACTCAGAATTGGCGTCGCTAGGCAAGGAGTTTGTTCAGCGAGCTCTGCTCCATTTTGCAACTTTTCCTGCCACGCTTGTTTAAGCAAAATCGCTGCGGTGGTTCAATTAGTAACCCGGTTGTGAAGTGAATCCGGCTTCCCCGTTGATTTTGCTTGTTCAGAAGGTCACGAAAGAGGATCCCAGGAACCCTGTCACCGTCATAAACGTGAGTTGCTTGTCAAGCATCCGAATATAAATCACATGACCGTGGGGATGCTTGGGTCGTAAGTCAGGGAGGGGGTGGGGACGGTCCTAAGTCACCTTTTTTTCGGCGTCGTAACTTTGGTAACTAAGCGGACTTAGTGGTAAGTCGAGGACCACCTGTACACTTTTAATGGGTGCAGTAAGGAGGGCAAGGAATGAAGGGGTAACCGTCCGTCAGAAGGTCAAACGGTCAAGGCAAAAAGTGGACTCCGGAGGACTTTATGTATGGAGATTGAGTTGACCCTTAAAAGCTGCCTCCACCTCAGCCTCAGGGGCAAACCCAGAGCAGGCCCGGCTGCCCCCCTGGGGAAAGTGACCCTTTCCTGCTATCCCACCCAACCGAAAGGAGCCCTGAAGACGGAGCCTGTACTACAGGCAAGGCATGGCTCCCCACTCCCACCCCAGAGCCAGGAAAGGGAAGGATGGGCTCGGAGTCCAGTGTCTTATCTGGGGCTCTTAGGATGCAGGCGACCTTTGGCCTTGGGGGCAAGGGACCCTCAACCCTCTTCGCTGCAGACTACACTCATTGGCGAGCCCCCCAAAAGACCCTTGGCCTCAGTTCTGGGGGCAAGGGACTCTCTCCCCCTCTTCCCTATGGACTAGCTCATTGCCACCCCCACCCCCCCAAAACCCCCTGGGCTTCGGTCCTGTGTTCAAGGGACCCTTCCCCCTCTAGATTATTGCTGAACTCCCAAAGTCCTTGGTCGTGAGTGCAAGGGACCCTCCCCTGCTCTCCGGTACAGACCCTTGACCTCAGCCATGGCTGCAAGGGACCCTCCCCCCCCTCATCCCTCTGGACCACGCTCCTTGCCGAGCTTCCCCCCAAAGACCCCCGCCCTTGGGCGCAAGGGACCCTCTGCCCACCCCCTTCTCTACAGACACTCTCCGATCGGCGTGGCTCGGGGTGCCTGGCTTCGCGGCCAAGGGTTGGCGGCGGCGGGCGTTTCCTCGTATCGGGCCACTCCTCCCTTCCTGCCCTCGGGCCTTTTTTTTGGGGGGGGGGGGGGGGCGTGTTGGCAGGGCGTTTGCCGCCGCTGTTGGTTTTTTTTTTGCGCCGCTGCAGCTTGCCTTGCAGGGCGGGCGTGTGCGCGCCTCTCCCTTCTCCCTCTCTCTCTCTCTCTCGTGTGTGTGTGTGTGCTTGTGTGGCTCCTTCGGAGGCCGGTGCCAGGTGCGGCCGCCTCCCCGGCTGACAAGCAGCGAGAGGGCGGACGGGCGGGGGAGGCAGGCCGGCCGGCCGGCCGGGAGGGAAGGAGGGCGGGCGGCGACGGCAGCTGGAAGGGCGAGTTTGGCAGCGGGGAGGCTCCCCCTTCCACTGCTCCGCCGCGGCTGCAGGGGGGTAATTAAGCCGCCGGCTCGGGCAGGAGGAGGAGCGGCAGCAGCAGCAGCAGCAGCCGGCCTCACTCTGCCTCCCGGGGCCAGCCGAGCAGGGCAGAGCCGCCGCGGCGTGCCCGACTTGTTTGTGTGCGAAGGAGGCGCCCAGCCCAGCAGGGACTCCAGCCGCGCCCCGACCCCGGGCTGGGCTTGCGGTGTGCGGAAGCCTCGCCCCAGCCAGCCGGGGAGACGCCCTGCCTGCTCAGCCGGCTGAGTGATCGGCGCGCCCCTCCCTGGCCCTGCCTGCCTGCCTCTCCCCCCCCTCCCCGCCCTCTTAGTTACCCCGCCGGCCGAGGGAGCCTGGCAGAGCCAGCCAGCCAGCCGCGCCGGCGTCATGTGACAGCGCTGCCTAGTGCCAGGAGCCCGGGTGGGGGAAAAGCCAGCGCAGGAGGAGGCCAGCCAGAGGCGACCGGCCCCACCGAGGTGGCCCGCCCGCTGCCGAGCGCAAGGGAGAGACAACCCACGAAGGGAAGGGAAGAAGGCGGCCCGAGACCCCCTGAGCCCCCCGCTCCCAAGCCAGCCCCAGCAGCACCAACTTCGGAGGTTGGTCGCTTTGACAAGTCGAAGTAAGTCCCGCCGGGGAGGAGGAAGAGGAAGAAGGGTGCTGCTGCTGCTGCTGCTGCTGCGGGGAAAACTCAGCGCGTCGGTTAAAAGGAGAAAGGGAGCGCTCGGGAGGAAGAGGAAGAAGGGGGGGGGGGTTGCGAAGAAGGCTCAACGGGTCTATTGCCAGGAGAAAGGGATCTCGGAGCGCCCGGGAGGAGGGAGAGGAAGAGGAAGGGGGCCTGCGAGGAAGGCTCGAGGTGTCTTAAAAGGAGAAAAGGCTCTTGGAGGAGCGCTCGGGAGGAAGAGGAGGAAGAGAAAGAGGGGGTCGCGAGGAAGGCTCGACGCGTCGGTTATAAAAGGAGAAAAAGGGCTGGCGGAGAGCGGAGCAAGCGGAGCGGTCCGAGAGGGTCCCCAAGGTGACTCCGCGATGGAGAGAAGGGAAAGCGCGGCTTTTTATCGACGTGGCGGGACGGGACAAAAGTGCCTCTCGCCACTTCGGTGAAAACCTTGGCAGTTGCAAAAGCGAGAGCGAGAGAGCGAGCGCGGACGTGGGGAAGGGGTAGGGGGCCTCGGGGCGGTGAGATCCCTCGCTCCCGCCCACCCCCAGAGCCGGTGGAAACTCTGGGGGAAAAGGGGGGGGGCTTAGTGGGAGGGCTGGGGGAAACAGCAGCCCTTGCCCCCTCCCTCGGATCCCTGGCCGGAGGGGCGCGAATCGCGCTTGGCAATTCCCAGGGATCTCCTAAACTGCGATTGGTTGGGAGGAACGGGGGAGAAGCGGGGGGGGGGGGGGGGGGGGGGGAGAGAAAGATGTTTTTAGGGTTCGGGAAGTCTCCTTTGTATGCGTCTTTTTCCTTCCTCTCGGAGAGCCTGGGATTAAAGGAAAGGCATTTGAACAAAAGCCCAGCCGTGGGTTGAGAGCTTTTGCAAAAAGCAAAAAGCAAAAAAAAAAAAAAAAAGGACGTGCAGTGCTGGATTGGACTATTTGACCCCACTCCCCGTTCTTGGGATGGGGGAGGAGAGAGTCTTTGTGAGCTTTCCCCCACCTCCCAATGGGTGACCTGTTTCTTGACACCCAATGACCCTTTCCATTCCCAGCCCGAAGCAACTTGGGAGAGAAATCCATTTAAATCCTGGGCTGTGTGTGTGGTTCCTGTTTTTTTGTTCCTTCAACCATCTCAGGACTTCTCTCTGTACACCCACCAAGATGCGATTACCTTGAATTTTAAGGGCCCTTGTTATATTCCTAAAATAGTTAGGGGAGATGTCGAATGTGAACATTTATTCTTTTTTATTGACTTAGAAAATGTATTTGCCACTCGTCTTACTTGGACAAAATGAACACACTCTTAAAGAGTTCTGTACAATATGAGTTTTCATAAAAATATGGTTGGGTCTAGTTTAGCTCCCTCGCTTCAGAACACATATGTCTTGACATGGAGATACTGTGTTGTGATATTACATTCCTCCTGGCTTTTAAAGCACACACACATAGTGTATACATACACCTTTATGACACCTCTATTTGTATTAAAATGGCATTAATGATATTTATATAAACACTCCTAGAAATGCCAGAAAGGTGTGTAAATAGTAGAACATTTAAACCTAATTGGAAAAGACATCAATATTTGACTTTTTCTCTCTCTCTCTCCAAATATTGCTTTCTGGGTGTTTAAAGAAAAGTATAATGCTTATTTGGAAGGCTTGTGAGATGCAGACTTCGTAGTGAGGTGCTATCATTTGAAGATAATTTAGAATCCCGCTTCTTGAATAAATTAAAAACTTCCAGCTGACAAAACTTTGAATGTGCTGCTTTCTTGTTACAGACATTTGTGTCAAGAGTAAAAAATGCATTCCCTTCTAAATTACTGTTATCATTTGGCCATTAATTGCTGTTTCAATTCTTTTTGTATAGCTGCAAATGTCATAGTTTACACTGGGCTCAGGTGCTATTTTTTCCTCTAGTTTCTGGGAAAATGTAAACTTTGTATTGAAGTCATTGGCACATTGAGTCACAGTTTTTAACTTGTAAACTTCTGTTGTAATAAAGATTTATTTTTTATTTTTTTGGCATTGTAGAGTAGTTTTCAAAGCTTGCTGAAGTCTTTGACCAATCCTTAACCACAGATTTGATCAAAACTAGATTATATCAATCTAATGTTACTACTGTATTTAGTCGCAAGGCAATTACATTTTGTGTGTGCTTGTGTGGCACTGATGCTTCACCTGACAGCATTAGTGCCTCACAAGCAGACAATACACAACATATACAATCACCCAAGCGCTTGCCGAAGTGAACCAGCAAGTTCTGACTTCTAACTTTGGCTTTTCCTGAATGCTATACTAATAAAGAAACTTGACATGAAAATAAACTCAGAGAATAAGAGCGATTAATAAAGAAAGACCTTACGCCTTCCTTTTTTTACAAGTAGTTAGAACTAACACTATGACCTATTATGTAAAGAAAAGTCTATTTTCTTTTCCTGTCTAGATACTCTGCCCCAGATCCTCCCACCCTTCTAGTTATAATAACTGGGCCACTGTTGTTCAGGTTAAGGATAGTGTAATCTACAGGGCAACGGGTTAGGGGGGAAAACTGGAATATTTCTTTGAAAAAGAAAAGAGGCAAACACATTAATCAAAGGTTACAGTGCTGTGCATATATTTACTCTGGGGAAAGCTGCATTTAGCCCATTTTGACTCGGTTCCAAATAAATGCATACTGTATGTGATTATTTGAGGCACAACATTTGTCCTTATTATTAATTGTAAGACTTGGATCCAACGAATCCAAGGTGTTTTCCACTTCTGAATAGCTGAGAAAGTATGGACTTCACTGGTAGTCCATGGAAGTGGAGGTTGGGGATTGAAAACTTTGCTTCAGTTTCCTGGTGTCCCGTTTTAAACCAGTGAAGAAAAGTTGGGTGCAGTTCTGCTTAATGCTGTGATGGTTAAACATCAACATAATCAAAACAATGCCAAGGGTAGAGACCACTTTTTGAAAGGAGCTCCAGTGTCAACGGTAGACATGGTGATCGGTGGTTTATTGTGACAAAAGTGTACTGAATGTCAAAGTGAATGTAGAAATGGCATTTGCTCCTAAACGGTGGTTAATTCCTTATGGTGCTTTGTTTGAACGGAGCCAGCTTGCTAACTAGTACAATACATGTAGTCTTTGATTACAACCGTTCGTTTAGCGACCAAAGTTACAAATATTGGTTTTTACGTTTACAACTTTTGCAGTGAATCAAAATTCAGGCATTGGCAACTGGTTCATATTTATGACTGTCGCTGTGTCTCTGGGGGTCAGGCAAAGTCGATGGGGAAGCCAGATTCACTTAACAGCCGGGGTGATTAACTTATGCACTGCAGTGATTCACTTAACAATGGTGACAAGTAATGTCGTAAAATGGGGCAAAATTCACTTAGCAAGTATCTCACTGAACAAGGGTAAATTTGGGTTCCATTGTAAGTCGAGGACTACCTGTATTTGTGTCATGGTTTATCTCAAACAAACAAACTGAGAGAAATGTTGTTTATTGCTCAGTCACAAACCTCAATGAATAAAAGTTCCAAATTCTCAAACCCAACTTAGAAAAAGGGAGAGAAGAGGAATCAATATGTCACATCACTGTGTAGTTCTCACTAAATCCTGTAGCTCACTTACATTATAAGCAAATGCTTAGCTTAATGTTTCAAAATTCGTTTCTGGTGGGTTTTTTTTCCCACTTCCCCTAGAATGTATTTTGCATAGTGTTATAAATGTAAATTTTCAGCACTTAGTTGCCTTTGGCTGATTCCCCCCACAAGGATCATCATATCTGGCTAATATACCCTAAGATACCAGATCTATAAACTAGATGGGAAATCAGAAAATGCCCAGAAGTTGACAGTGGTACATTGTTGTTACCTTGCAGTTAAAAAAATTGCATTGGCATTTTTAGGTAGTCCCCAAAATGTTTGTGGGCTTGGCCTATTTACCCCATGTACCATATACTTTAATTGTGGCATTATCCACACAGAACAGAGATTCTTGAATTGAACTGATTTGCACGAATAGATGTACAAAGGTAGGCAGAGACAGGACAGCCATTTGTCTGAAATGATCTAGGGTCTCCTGGCTTGAGCAGGGGGATATTTATTTGTTTGTTTGCTTGCTTGCTTGCTTATTTGCTTATTTGCCCCTTAAATATTTTGAGCAGCTCGGTGCGGAGTATAGAGAAGAACATCAATTGTGGTGGTATTGCCTAATTGTAGATACTCAACCTGGCTTCCTACGGATAGAGACCGTCTCTTGGATTCGTCTTCACTGACCAATGACTGTGTGTTGTGGTGGTGGGTTTGTTTGTGGTTGAAATCATCCGCCAACCTTCTCCGTAGCACAGGAAGGGTCACCTAGATTTTTCTCTGGCCTTTCTTTCTTTCTTTCCAGCGGAGAGAGAGAAAGAGCAAGAGAGAGCCACTAGCACTGTTTCCTGTTCTTTGTTTCAAGGCTGGCCTTTGCGTCACACATTCCATGTAGCATATGTGTGTTCTTTCCTGTTTCAGGCTGTTTTCTGGTAGATCAGTAGCCCAGACCTGTCCTCTTGTCACTGCCCCAACTGCGTTCAGTCTCCACCCAGCGAATTATCATGTCTCTGCACACTCCGGATTGCTTAAAAAACGCCTGCGTTATGTCACCACAAAAGAGCCACGCTTAACCTTTTCACTCGTGCACGCAGGCTGCAATCTTGTTTATTTAGAGTATCAAACGAAGGAGAGATTATTTTCTGGATCGGATTTTTTTTTTTTTTTTTTGAGATGGGGAGGAAGAGACAAAAGGCTTAAATGTGGTGCTTTTTTTTTTTATGTGGAATGGTGGTGATATATTTAGGGAAATCAAAGAAAAGCTATTCCCTAGGTTTTAGGCATACGTGATTTCTACAGGAGCCTTTGCCGTGAGTTGGTGACCCCTGTTTTATTCAAACTTTCTTTTATCTGTGCCACCAGTTCAATAATAAAAGATAAACTTACTTCTCTAAAA